GTTTCGTTGTTATTTTTCAATGACATGAATAAGATTAATGTTGATGCGCAACAATAGTTGTGAATTTGATATTAGCTAGTTTTGATTATTACTATATGAATACAAATAATTACTTTTTTTCACAATATTCAAATTCCCCAACAATGCCGAAACATCACTAAATTATTACACTAATTAAACCCATAACCTACCTCAACCTAAGCCTGTTTGTGTCTAATCCTAAACTAATTGAATCATAATTAAAAATGACGAAACTCCTATTCTACGCTGACACCATTGAATATTTATTCACTACAGTATAAAATAATTGAGACATTTTTATCGAAAAATTGCAGAAGTTAATTAAGACTCAAAGGATTGTAATGATATAACTAATGTGTGTTGATCAAAGTTGGAACATGTGTAATTTTAGAACGTTGTTTTGTTTTTTTGACTAGTTTGGTGTGCATACAGATTTGGGCCGCACAATATGTTCTGTTGTCTTAGAATTTACAAACAATCCTCCTATGATATTTGGTACTGAGCACCCTCAATGGTGAGTATTCATAAAATATAGAGTGAAGATAATATAAGGATATGTAATCATAATGATGTGTGATGAAGATGCCACTAATAGTTTGAAATCATGAGATAAACAAATTTATATTAATGTGTTTTTACCTTACCCATAACATCAAAGATGGAAGGGAAAGGTATATTAAGGGAAAAATTTCTGTACGGCGTTGTCATTGTAGTCGTCGCTGTCATTGTCGTCGTTAATAATGTTATTGTGTGCACAATAACTTTACCATTTCTATTCGAAACTTTATAAAACTTGGTCACCTTATTCATCAGTATAAAGTATGGTATGAACAACAGATGTCCTGTATGAAAATATCAAGCAAAAATTGAGAAAATCTGATAAAATATTTTGACTGTTTCTACTCGACTGATCACTGGTGATACACATTCAAAGGTCACTGATCTCGGTGGAAATATGCATTGTTGTATGTTTTGAATCTAAAATACTATTAACAAACAGATTTATATTGTTACATGGTGCATTTCAGTCCAAATTTATGACAAATTTTGGTCTTATATCTTATGGTCCATTATCATTAAAATGCTTGCTATTTCTTTCTACCAATCATTAAATTTCATCTAATCTAATGATTTGTTTTTACACAATAATCTATTTGTATAGCACGCCGCCAAGTCAGTTACCATATACACCACAGCCTCAAGCAGCTGCTCCATTTGTAGCACCATATCCCGTCAATCCTATATCAACAGTACCAAGTGGCATGAATTATATACCACAGATACCAATGCCAACGCTGACGACCTCCAGTCCAGTGCCAGTAAGTCTAGATTTTGCTGCAAACTAGTTAGAAGTGACAGTTTTTTTGTCTGAAGTTAGAAGAATGTTCTTTTCAATTTGAGCCCAAGATAGATATTAAAACTGAAAATCTTTTATAAAGCAACAGTCATTGCGCAGTTGGTCAAATTTCGTTTAAATGAATATGAATTGTATGTCAAAGGGGATCCATGTCAAACATGTCATGGCATGGTGAATGTGGTGTTTTCTGAAAACGAGGGAAATATCATGAAATTAATTTAGTGGTTGCTGAATTTTGAATAGACTCGAAATGCTGGTGATGTACAGCATGGTTTGTCTTGAACCAGTTCCTTCTTTTTCATCACAAATTCACAAAATAGTCCCCTTTATAGTCTGCACTTTCCTTCAGAAAAATGGGGACAAAACATTTTTTGAGTAAAAATTTTGTCTGTTGGCTCCAAAATATTGAAGAATATACGAAAAAAGTGCAGAAAATTTTGGCTGAGAAAGTCTGGTGGTGAAAAGGATAGTGAAATAATTATTGTACAGTCAGAAGAATTTCATACTTCAATGAGTCGGTATACTTATCGAACAATATTCCAAGAGTTGGAACCTCACTGATAGCATTGAGTCTGTGTACTAATCGTACAATATTGCAAGAGTTGGAACCTCACTGATAGCATTGAGTCTGTGTACTAATCGTACAATATTGCAAGAGTTGGAACCTCACTGATAGCATTGAGTCTGTGTACTAATCGTACAATATTGCAAGAGTTGGAACCTCACTGATAGCATTGAGTCTGTGTACTAATCGTACAATATTGCAAGAGTTGGAGCCTAACTGATACCTTACAATTCAAGAATTGGGTTTGATTCATTATGTATTTTTCTCCGCCATATACAGATGTCATGTTCTTATACAATGCCGACAGTGCCCACATCGTTTCCAGACCTTCATAGTAAAACAGTTTCACAACTACAGGCATTCAACGCAGAGGAACATATTCTAGCAGAATATTCACTTAATTTACCGCAGATGAAGAAATTACAAGTCGACCGTCTGGATTTGTGCAATGCTAACGAGGATTTAGCAAGTAAGTGTTTTTTTTTCTTTTCAGAGTTCAGTAAAGAAAGCATTTTGTAGCAGTTGAACATTTAATGCAGTCATTGATGGTGGTCACAGTGTCCAGACCTTCATAGTCTTCATGGTAAATTAGGCTCACTAGCGAAAAACATAGAAACAGTAATTTTGAAATTATATACTGGGGTATACAATCTGGATTCATGATTCACAAATTCAAAGTTTGAATACTTTAAGTTTCAGGACATTTCTATTCCAAAAATGTTTAAACTGAGCATATTTTTTGTGATAAAAATAGAGATTATTTTTATGAAATCAATAAACAAAATCTTCATAAATATTTTTGTACCGGTAGGTGATTGATTTTTTTTGAGCGGGTGTGGTACACAGAAGTGTTAACTTTTAATAGGGATCTTTTATATGTTTTAGTTATGTAATGGAGATGGGATTATAGTTTTAGGCTTGTTTCAGGTCTCCTTGGATAGTCAAAATGAATGGAAAAAATGTGTTAATAAATAGATAATTTTATTTTTTTAGAGATTAATCTGAGAAAGAAACCCTATTTGGAATCTCAGAAAGAAGAGTTAAGACAAAAATATGAAATATTGGAACAGCTGAGAAAACAGTTTGATATAGATTGTCAGAAACAACAAACCTTAAGTGAAGTAAGTCAGCCATGTTTATTCCTCAATTCTGTCATCCGTGTCATAATTTTGCATAATTGACACCCTACCTTATTTGGTAATGTGAATTCCTAATATGGAATGATTATGCAATATTTCCAAGATGGCGGTTGATACACTGTTAAGCTTTTCATCACCAGACTTTCTGGGCCAAAGTTTTCTGCACTTTTTTTATTTTATACTTCAATATTTATGGAAATGAACCTTTATTTTGGAGCCAACAGACAACATTTGAGTAAATTTTTGGTTTTTACTCAAAAACTTTGGCTATTTGTCCCAATCTTCTAAAGGAAGGTGCAGACTATAAACGGGACTATTTTGTGAGGGAAAGGGGGAACTGGTGGTGAAAAGGGTAACACATTCTTTGCAGTATCCTTGTAATTATCTCATAAAATTATTCAACTGTAAACTTATTTTGAAAGACTTTAGGTTTGTTAACTTTGTAATTTATGGTACTGTCCAATCAGCTTGTGTGTGGTCTGTGTCATGAATGTAATTTTCCCAACAAGGATCGTACGATCATTACACCAAACGATTTGCATAGCTCCTGACCAACAGTCGACTACCGGTAGTTCATTATTTACAAATTGTTTTTTCAGAGATACAATCCATCCAACCTTCTTACACATCTAAAGATTGCATCAGCTGAAGCTGAGGAGGAGTCAGAAAAAATTGCTGATTTATTTTTAGATAAACAGATTGATATTGAATCCTTTGTGCAACAGTTTATGGAGAAACGAAAAGTAAGTTGGATTATGTGATTCGGCTGCTGTTGTTTCACAAAATGACTGGATAACAGTGATCAATATGCCATGTACTTTGATCACATGATTTCCTAAGGATTTAACTTACCAATCCTACTATACTGTCTTAAAACTGTGAATATTGGTTGATACTATAGTGGTAGTACTGATAAGTAAAAATTTACCAAAATGTTTTTTTCCCTCAATAGGAACACATGCAATATGATTCCTATTAGATTTAGAACTTGTTCCTATACATGTGTAAATCCTGCTGGGAAAGGGTTAAATCCTATAGAAATCATAGAAAGTCCTATATATGACTTAATATACTTAGCAAAAGAAATCAATAATATTTATTATGATTAAGGTAGAGATGCAGTTTACCTGACAGGTATTTTAATTTATTTATTTATTTATTAACACACAAGATCCCCCGGAGGGGATGAAAAGGGTTACAAATCAGATATTAGTAAAAGAAAAATAACCACATAAAAAGTAAGGGAACAAAAAGGCATTAAAAAAAAAAGATAATAATTTGAATACAAGGAATGTATTACTGGCTTAGTTTATGTAGGTGCTGCTGTCTTGTATTAAAACAGTTTTTTAAATATTGTGCTAAAGGAATAGACATTTTCTCGTCACTTAGTAATGATATGAATTTATTTTCATTACTAAATTTGTCAAAATTTGGTATACGTTTATTAGCTACAATGTAA